TGGGACTACAGGCATGCATCATCACACCTGGCTAATTTTTTATTTTTTATTTATTTTTTTAGTCAGATTCTCACTCTGTCACCCAAGCTGGAATGCAGTGGCACAATTATGGCCTCAAACGGCTGAGATCAGGTGATCCTTCCGCCTCAGCCTTCCAAGTAGCTGGAACCATAGGTGCATGTCACCACACCTGGCTAATTTTTTTTTTATTATAGAGCCAAGGTCTTGCCAAGTTACCCAGGCTGGTCTCAAACCCCTGGACTCAAGCAATCCTCTTGCCTCCGCCTCTCAAAGTGCTGGGATTACAGGTGTGAGCCACCGTGCCCAGCCTTAATTTCTGATTTTTTGTAGAGATGAAGTCTCACTATGTTGTCTAGACTGGTCTCAAATTCCTGGTCTCAAGCAGTCCTCTTGTTTTGGCCTCCCAAAGTGTTGGGTATAGACATGAACCACCGTGTCTGGCTTGTCATCAGTATTAATAGAAGTATTAATAAAGTGCACTGGAACAAGTCATACAGGAGGAGGTGTGTGTGTGTGTGTGTGTGTGTGTGTGTAATAGAAGTATTAATAAAGTGCACTGGAACAAGCCATACAGGAGGAGAGGTGTGTGTGTGTGTGTGTGTGTGTGTGTGTGTGTGTGTGTGTGTGTGTGTGTGTGTGTGTGTTGGAGTCTCGCTCTGTTGCCCAGGCTGGAGTGCAGTGCCACTAGTTGCCTGGGCTTCATTCCACTTCAGCCTCCCAATAAGCTGGGACTACTGGCAGCGTGTGCCAACACACCTGGCTAACTTTTTTTTTCTTTTGAGTTGGAGTCTCACTCTGTCACCCAGGCTGGAGTGCAGTGGCACAGTCACCACCATCGCAGCCTTGACCTGCTGGGCTCAGGTGATCCTTCTGCCTCAGCCTTCCAAGTAGCTGGAACCACAGACATGCACCACCATACCTGGCTAATTTTGTTGATTTATTGTAGAAATGAGGTCTTGCCAAGTTGCCCAGGCTGGTCTCTAACCCCTGGGCTCAGACAGTCCTCTTGCCTCCAACTCCCAAAGTGTTAGAATTACAGGCGTGAGCCAATACACCTGGCCTAGGAGATCTGATATTAAAGGGACCGTGAAGTTTGAAGAAGGAATGGGAGAGGATATTGAAACAAGAAAAACAATAGAAGCAAAGAAATGCCCTTATGTTAGACTGAGCATGGTGTGTTGTAGTCCGAATCACTGAGGACTAGTGCAGATAGTGCTTTCAGAGCCAAGGCAGATGGGAGATGAGATTGAGTGGAACACAACATTTATAACTATAATCAGTATAATATTGTGTTTGGTTTTCAGCAGCCCTTAACCTACAAAGGAAGTCAAGAAGATGAGAACAGCAAGGATTTCTAGAAGTCTAGAGAATATATGAGATACAATGTTAAATTCTAGTGTGACTTTAAGAACTGGTCAGAGGTGATTTCTGGTGTCCTTATAATTCATTGAATTATCTGAATGTTGATTTCTAACAGTGATATTTGCAGTACAACAAGGGCCTTCTGACTTGAGGAAATACTTTCCTTAAGACACCTCTTATTGTGGTATCCAAAAGAATCAGTATTCTTGCTCTTGAGGCAGGGAAGGCAGAGGAAGATGACTTGTGGGCTTAAGAGAATCAGATGGTTCAAAAAATCTTGCCCTATCAAAGTTGTCTGCAGCCTAAAAATGATGAATACTAGTATAGTGAAAGCCCCTGATTCTCCAAAACAGTACTACTGACAATGAGCATCTCTCAGAATGCAGTAGAACCCCAGAGACCAGCACAGGATGTTTTACTTAGAAAACAAATTGTATATTGGGCTTTAGCACTCATGAAACTCTTACCTGTTTCAGACGCTGACTGGAAAGGAGATTGAGATTGATATTGAACCCACAGACAAGGTGATGCTCTTCTTCATGCCCTTCTTCTTGTCATGTATGTTTCTCCGGGTATGCTTATGGACTTGCTTCTTTTGCTCTTTCCGCTGTCGCGTGGCCCTTGTTCTTTCCATTGCCATAGTCTATCCCTGAGCAGCCCCTGACTATTTGTCTCTCTTAAAGGTGGAGCGAATCAAGGAACGTGTGGAGGAGAAAGAGGGAATCCCCCCCCAACAGCAGCGGCTCATCTACAGTGGCAAACAGATGTGAGTTTGGAGTGAGAATGATGGCACAGTGATCTTACGTGGAAGATGACAGGGGTCAAGTACTAGAGGTGGTTCAGGCCTGCCTCTTATTTTTGGTGCCTTACCTTTTGGCAATCTGGTGAAGCCTCTAGGCTTCTTTTCAGAATAAGGTTTTTTCCAGGCATAAGATAGAGTTACAAATGAAGCTAATTATATTGAAATACGATTATCAAAATACTAAAACAAGTTTGTGATATAGTAATATATGAGCTTGCTTATTACAAGATCTAATTTGTAATAAGCTTGCTTATTACAAGATCATTATAAGATCTAATGTGGGTCTAATAGCTACCATAATTTTTTAAACATTTTCAAGAGTCCTGCAAACAGTTTTAATATGATAGGAAAATATTTAATTTTATATTTATATTTTTAACAAGTTACCCATATTGCTATACTGCTGTGGTTTTTGGCCTATGTTTAAAAAGACATAGGGAGTTAGTAAAAATAATGATGGAATTCTTATTTAAGATCACAGACTCTCAAAGAGATCCATCAGACTCAGGTTAAGAACACCTACTATCAATGATATTTCTAAAGCTTTCTTTCTTTTTTCTTCCTTTTCCTGCAGGAATGATGAGAAGACAGCAGCTGATTACAAGATCCTAGGTGGTTCAGTCCTTCACCTGGTGTTGGCTCTGAGAGGAGGCGGGGGTCTTAGGCAGTGATGGACCCACTCTCCATTTTTTCTCTTTACCCTTTTCGCTCACAATGAAGCATCGTATATCCGCTCACTCTCTGTGATACCAGAGCTAATGCCCCCTCCCCTGGATACCCAGTCTTGTGTGTCTACTGGTGGGAGACTGTGAGGATGCCAGGATGCAGTATTCCTGGCCCAAAGGGCCCTTGCTGGCTATTGGGTTTTAGTTTGCAGTCCTGTGTGCTTCCCTCTCTTATGGCTGTGTCCCTGGTTGTCAATAAAATATTTCCTGACTCCTGACATCTTTCTTCTTTTGCACAAATGTGACTGAAATCAAAATGGACATAATGCTCACTCAATTATACCAGGCTGAAGGAGTGGGACAATGGAAGGGATGGTGCTCTTAGAGGGATTCTCAGATTCCAGGAAAGCCTACTGTCAGCAGTGTGCTGGATCCAGTTCCTGGTGGCTCATGAGAGCCAATGAATGGCTTCTCTTCCTAGCTTCGTTAAGTGATTTCTTATTGGTAACTTGAACTTGGCCATGGTAGGAATATTTACAAAAATTGGCAAACACACTGGGCTCAGTGGCTCAGCCTGTAATCCCGTGCTTAGGGAGGTCAAGGTGAGTGAATTGCCTGAGCCTGCGGGTTCGTGACCCGCCTGAGCAACTTGATTAGACCTCATCTCTACAATAAATCAAAAAATTAGCTGGGCGTGGTAGTGCACGCCCATAGTTCCAGCTACTTGGAAGGCTGAGGCGGAAGGATCGCCGGAGCCCAGCAGGTCGAGGCTGCGGTGGCCGGGAGCATGCCACTGCACTCCAGTCTGGGCTAAAGAGTGAGACTCCAACTAAAAAACAAAAAACAAAAAAACGGGCTCGGTGGTTCAACCTGTAATCCCGTGCCTTTGGGAGACTGAGGTGAGTGGATTGCCTGAACCCAAGGGTTCGAGACCCGCCTGGGCAGCGAGACCTCATCTCTACAATAAATCAAAAAATCAGCCGGGCGTGGTAGCGCATGCCTGTGATTCTGGCTACTCTCAAGGCTGAGGCAGAAGGATCGCCAGAGCCCAGCAGGCGAGGCTGTGGTGGCCGGGAGCGGCCACTGCACTCCAGTCTGGGCAACCGAGTGAGACTCCAACTCAAAAAAAAAAATTGGCAAACGCTACAGATCAGTACCTCCCCCAAAACTGGTTAATATGCATCTATGAGCATACTGCTTACATAAATGATAGAAACCAGGAGAGGGATATCTCTCCTACTTTTGCTCTTACTGGAAACTTGGACCTGTTTGGAGAAAGGCCTCAGAGGCTTGGCTGGCACTACATTCTTTACAGGTGGAATACAGCTGAGGGTTCTGGGTTCCACACTATCAAGAGGTTGGTATGGAGAAAGGTTGAGTGGCAACAAACTGCGATGGCTCACTTGGGTTTCAGTTGGTAAAATAAGACACAGGTGCTAAAAGAAAAGGCATCCTTCCTTGTCTTCTTAGCATAGCAGAATCTGGCAAGGCTGAGTGGAAGGGAGCAGTATGGGCGGATGCCTGTGGTCAGTTCCTTGGAGAAACTTGATTCCTGTAGTTCCGTATGCAAGCGCGTTGGTACCTTGTTTGAGAGCGCACTCTCTTCCTTTCCAGTGATGGAACTGTACGAGATAGGTGGGCAGGACTCCGACTGTACCCAGAGGTGCAAGAGGCCTAGGACGATTGCATATTTTTTCTCATTGCACCCTCTCCTGTGTCTTTTGTGTGTGTGTTTGTGACTCCGCCGGAACTGTGTCTTTTAACTATTAAACATCGGCTCAGAGCCAGCGGTGTCAAAAAGATTATGGAGTTGAATAGGGGCCGAAGATGCCTATCCATCCTGGAAAACGGCAAATTGATTCCCCCCTGGTTATACTTTGCTTGCAACTCTGGCCCTTCACTCTCCTAATCCCATCTATTGCAACTTTTTTTGCAAGCTGGGTACTGAGTGGAAAGGATGGCCATTTGGAGAATGAGAAAGGGTCCCTAGGAGGGATAAGGTAGCTGTATACAGGGTGGATAATCTGCATGATTGGTGGCATCCACAATCGGGCCCCACTGACCAACAGAAGGCGCTCTTGCGTGATCGACAGGCAGACAGCTGGAACTCGACGGGGTGACACTCTAGTCGCGGTTTCTCTATGGCAGCAGGGTGGCCGCCGCCGCTGTAGTTGCTGCGCTAAGGCCCTGGGAAAGCTCCAGGTCCGTGCGCTTGGCCTGCAGGTGCGGGTCATGGCACGGCTCCCGAAGCTCGCAGTCTTTGATCTGGGTGAGGGACCAAGAGGGGAGAGTTTCGTAGTACGCTCTCCTTTTCCACACCCCAGCTTCGGCTGCGTCCCCGCGATACTGAACCTTCTCCCTCTTTCCTCTCGCAGATTATACGCTTTGGCCTTTCTGGGTTGACACGCACGTGGACCCTCCGTTCCACAAGAGCAGGTGAGGCGGGGACAGGGAGGACTGGGGCCAGGTGGGGCCGGGCCGGAACTGAGCGCACTCTCCTCCTTCCAGTGATGGAACTGTGCGAGATAGGCGGGGCCAGGACGTCCGACTGTACCCAGAGGTGCGAGAAGTCCTGGGACGATTGCAGGGCCTTGGGGTACCCAGTGCGGCCGCTTCACGGTAAGAAGAACGACTGCCCAAAAAATCAGATTAATGCTGAAAGATGCATGAGGAGACTTCTTGTGAAATCCTTGGGCTACAAAAATTTGGGAGATGTAAATTTGCAAGTATTTGCATATTTTTTCCCATTGCACTCTCTCCTGTATCTTTCAACAATGGCTCAACGCCAGCAGTGTCAGAAAGGTTATGGAGTCGAATAGGGGCTGAAGATGCCTATCATCCTGGAAAACAACAAATTGATTCCCCCCCTGCTTGCAACCCTGGCCCTTCACTCTCCTAATCCTTTCTATTGCACTTTTTTTTTGCAGGACAGGTGAGATAGAAGGGGCCAACCAGCTGCTGGAGCTCTTTGACCTTGTCAGATACTTTGTTCATTGGGAAATCTATCCAGGCAGCAAGGTCACACACTTTGAGAGGTATGTGGACATAAAGGAGAAGCAGGAAAAGAGTACCAGAGAAGATGGGGGAGCCAAGATGCCAGCTTAGTTACCTTGCCTTGCCTTGCACAGGTTGCAGCAGAAGACTGGAGTTCCTTTCTCCCAGATGATCTTCTTTGATGATGAGAGGCGGAATATTGTAGACGTCAGCAAACTGGGTACTGAGCAGCTAGGATAGCTATTTGGAGAATGAGGAGAAAGGGTCCCTAGGAGGGATTAGGTAGCTGTATACAGGGTGGATAATCTGCATGATTGGTGGCATCCACAAAAGGTGAGAGCAATAATGCAAAGCCCTAAAAGCCTGATGGAATGTGACTTCTTTTCCTTCTAGGTGTTACCTGCATTCACGTCCAGAATGGAATGAGTCTTCAAACTCTAACTCAAGGGTTAGAGACATTTGCAAAGGCCCAAAGTGGGTCTTGAGGTCCAGCCCTGTGGATGAGCCTCATTTGAGGCCTAAAAGGGAAAGGAAATCAACAAGGCATATTCAGGTGCATTTTAAATTTTTTTTTTTTTGAGTTGGAGTCTTACTCTGTCACCCAGGCTGGAGGGCAGTGGCATGCTCTCTGCCACCGCAGCCTCAGCTGGCTGGGCTCAGCTAATTCTTCCACCTCAGCCTTCCAAGTAGCTGGAACCACAGATATGCGCCATCACACCTGGCTAATTTTTGATTTATTGTAGAGATGAGGTCTCGCCAAGTTGCCCAAGCTGGTCTCGATCCCGTAGGCTCCAGCAATCCTCTCACGTCAACCTCCCAAAGTGCTGGGTTATAGGCGTGAGCCACTGCACCCAGCTGTAATTTATTTATATCTTTTATTTATTATTATTATTATTATTATTTTTAGTTAGAGTCTCACTCTGTCATCCAGGCTGGAGTGCAGTGGCACGCTCCAGGCCACCGCAGCCTCAACCTGCTGGGCTCAGGCAATCCTTCCACCTCAACCTTCCAAGTAGCTGAAACTATAGGCACGTGCCACCATGCCAGCTAATTTTTTTTTTAATTGTAGAGATGAGGTCTCGCCAAGTTGCCCAGGCTGGTCTTGAACACGAGGGTTCAGGCAGTCCTCTCACCTTGGCCTCCCAAAGTGCTGGGGTTATAGGTGTGAGCCACCGCGCCTGGCCTGTAATTTATTAAAGTATTTGTGCGTGAAAGAAGAGATCTTACCCACAGTGTGGGTGGTTCCTATTTTTTTAGCCTGTGAAACTGGGGTTGTTTGTCCTGAGGAGCAAAGACCAGGCTGTGAGACATTAGACTACATCAAGTTCTGCCATGTAAACCTTGGCAGTCCCAAGACTGTGATTGCCTTGTGCTCAAACCCACCTGAAAGGAGGTACCTATAGAAACCTAGAATAAACTTAGTTTAGTAGTCTCTTTGCCTCAGCATAGCCTTTTTTTGTTTTGTTGCTTAGACTTTACCCCAATACACAGGTTGGACATGGATAAATGGATTTCCAATGGATGCAAGACAAAGGCAGAGCCATAGAAATAATAACAACCCACATTTTGATCAAGGAGTTTGTGGTGCAAATGTCTGACTAAGTCTCTTGCAGGAAGACCCCCTCCCCTTGTCTCCGCCCATCTAGCACACCATCTGAGGGCATGAGATGCTAATGTCTGACGGCCTCAGGATCTAAGTCTCATGTGCTACAATCAATATAAAAGGCCGGCAGCCCTGGACACTCCTCCAGGCAAAACCGCCCTTAACCCAAAGGCCCTTAAATATACCCATTTCTTGGCCCTTCGAGGCCACACTTGTCTCTGAGTGTTGACCCCCTTTCCAATCTGTGAAAGGTGAATAATAAACTGTACTTTTACTTTCTTCCTTGTGGCAATCTTGCATTATTCCCGCGGCATGTGGTCCCTTTCACCACCCCACTTTCCTGAGCTCTGTAAAGGACATGAAGAGCCTTCCCACTAGCTTATATAATGGAGTGCCATCGTGTGGCACATTTCCTTCCGGGGAGCAAGAAGAAAACGTAGCAGAAAGTGAAGCGGATGCCTTGGAAGGAAAGTCGGTCTCTGCCAGTGGCTCGGGGTCACGTGACAGCAGTGGTCTCGCCCGCGCCTCTTGATGACGTCGTGGAGGCGTCCTGAAAAGGGATTGGCCAAGGCTGATCCCTGCGTGTTGAGATATGGGAGCGAGGCGGAAGTGTGGAGGGCGCCGAGAGGCGAGGTCGCGATGAGTGGTCTAGGCAGACTCTTCGGGAAGGGTGAGCCACGGCCCAACTGGTCTGCCAGGAGGTGTTGGCTGGAACGGGGAGGGAGACGAAACCGCGGCGAGATCTAGCCTGATCCCTGCTCTGGGCCCGGGAAGAAATCCCGGAGACAGGCTGACCCGGAAACCCCTGCCCATGGCAGAGCAAGGCTCATGTCAGGTGCCAGAAGGCCCACCTTATCAGGGCGCCTCACTCCCGCCTGCCCTCCTTCTCCACTCATAATGGAAAGAGCACGAGGTCCGGGAGGCGACTTGAGTGGAGGCGTGGCAAACGTGCTGGCTCCCACTGTTGAGGCTCGGGAAGAAGTTTACCACTGTCTTCACCCGACCCTTTCCAAAACACTGTTTTACTTTGTGCTGGACAAAAGACTTCTAGGGTGAAAAGAAAAGGTTGCTTTCTTAAAGCTCATAACTGGTGGGAAAGACAAACAAAAACTGGCCCAGTGTAGTGCAGCAACTCATTGATGGATTTTCTCCTAAAACAAACAAAAACAGGGAAGGCCATGGCCTGGTAGCTCATGCCTGTAATCCAAGCACTTTGGGAGGATGAGGGGAGAGGACTGCCTCAGTTCAGGGGTTCGAGACCAGCCTGGGCAACTTGTGAGACCTCGTCTCTTCAAAAAAAATTAGCCAGGTGTGGTGGCACCCACCCGTGGTTACAGTTACTTGGAAGACTGAGGTGGAAAGATGTGTGCCCAGAAGGTTGAGGCTGCAGTGGTCGTGAGCATGCCACTGCAATCCAGCCTGGGTGACAGAGTGAAACTCCAACTCCAAAAAAACAAAAAATAAAAATAAAGTCTTTTGATGGCCAGGCATGGTGGCTCACGCCTGTAATACCAGCACTCTGGGAGGCAGAGGCGAGAGGATTGCCTGAGTCCAGGAGTTTGAGACCAGCCTGGGGCAACTTCGTGAGACCTTGTCTCTACAATAAATCAAAAAATTAGCTGGGCATGGTGGCACATGCCTGTGGTTCCAGCTACTTGGAAGGCTGAGGCGGAAGGATTATCTGAGCCTAGCAAGTTGAGGATGCGGTGGCCGTGATCTTTCCACTGCACTCCAGCCTGGGGGACAGAGTGAGACTCCTACTCAAAAATAAAATAAAAACCAGGGAACAACCGAAGAAGCAGGCATTGGTGGTGGTAATGCAGAAAGCTGGCAGTTAGCCAGGTGGAGAACTGAGATAGCCAGGAAGCAGTAATACTTTCGAGAAAGAGTACAGCATATTTAAGGAAAAGAGAAGTCCTGGTTAGTGTGGATAGAAGGGTGAACAAGGACCAAATCATGAAGGGCTTTATATGTCTTAAAAAGTTCGGATTTTATCTTGTAGGCAATGGAGAGAATGGAAGGGTTTTAAGCAGGCAAAGGCCACCAGATTTTTTCGGAGAAATGACTCTGTTAGAAGTATAGAAGATGAAGGGAGAAATTGAGATCCGTCCCCCCCCCCCCCCCCCCCCAGCCCCTTGTATTTCATTCACTTTGATCCTGTGGATTCAGAACCTTGGGCATCTCCTAGGACAACAAGTGGAACAGTGATTATAAAAAGTGACTGGGGCTGGGTGCAGTGGCTTATGCCTATAATCCCAGCACTTTGGGAGGCCGATGCAGGAGAATCAATTGAGCCTAGGAGTTCAAGACCAGCCTGAGCAACATAGTGAGACCTCATCTCTACAAAAAAAAAAGAAAAAAATTTAGCCGTGCTTGGTGGCTATGCCTGTAGTCCCAGCTTCTCAGGAGGCTGAGGTAGAACGATCGTCTGAACCCAGGAGGTCAAGGCTGTTGTGAGCCGTGATTGTGCCACTGCACTCCAGCCTGGGTGAGAGTAAGACCCCAAATTAAAAAAAAAAAAAAAGACTGGAAGTGTCTTGAAGTCAGCTTGGAATAGTAAAAAGAAGATTAACTTTGGAAGTTATACTGCCACATTTTGATTCTTGCACGATCTTAGTTGTGATTTTTAACATCTTTGTGTCTATTTTCACATTTGTTAAGTGGAGATAGTGCATTCATTGTAGGGAATTTTTTAGGGATTAGCAATAACACACACAAGTGCCAAGCACATACTATGCACTCAGTGATTGGTGGCTAATATTTTTCCTTCACACAATATGGGTCTGCTCCATTGGACTCTTCAGGGAAGAAGGAGAAAGAACCAACCCCTGAAGAAGCAATACAGAAACTGAAGGAGACGGAGAAGATACTGATCAAGAAACAGGAGTTTCTGGAGCAGAAGATTCAACAGGAGCTACAAACGGCCAAAAAGCATGGGACCAAGAATAAGAGAGGTAATGAGGGAAAGGAGCTGATGGGGAGGCCAGGTGGGAAGCAAGTGCTTCTGACTCTGATGTTCAGGGTATGGGCTGGGTTAGCCGCCCTGCAGGTTTTGCGGAGAAAGAAAAGACTGGAACAGCAGCTGGCACAAACCGATGGGACATTATCCACCCTGGAGTTTCAGCGTGAGGCGATTGAGAATGCCACCACCAATGCAGAAGTGCTTCGTACCATGGAGCTTGCTGCCCGAGGCATGAAGAAGGCCTACCAGGACATGTGGGTATGGGGGGAGGGAAGGAGGGGACCCAGGCACTGTGGAGGGTGGTTTAGTATTATACTTTGAACTTTAAAGCCTCACAGAATGTAAATTTACAGTATAGAGCTAGTGATGACTAGGCCTCTGTCTGCCTCCTTATTTCCTGCAAGAAGATTCTTTTGCTGGCTGGGGCATCCTAGAGAGGAAAGATGATTTCTCTAACTCTTAAAGATCCTTCATAGAGTACAACTAATTCTCTCCAATGTGACTTTTTTTTTTTGCTATTTTTCAATGCAGATTTGCTTCTACAATTTTCCAGGAATCTCTTATGCCTGATAGCCATGGGTTCATCAGTATGGTGCCACAAGGCAGGAGTGATTTCATTCGTGTGAGATGATAAAATTAGTGGCGTTGTTGCCTGATTTCTTGTTCTCAGGGACATTGACAAGGTAGATGAACTGATGGCTGACATCACCGAACAACAGGAAGTGGCCCAGCAGATCTCAGATGCCATTTCTCGGCCTGTGGGTTTTGGAGATGATGTGGATGAGGTGACTGGGGATGAGGGGTCAGGGAATATTAGAGAAAGCATGGGACTAGCCAGAAGCAACACCCAGACGAGGCTCTTGGCAAGTTTGGGAGGGAATTCTAAAAGTGGTGTGTTTTTGGATGTAGAAGTTTTTTTCTTCATCTTGAACAGTCTTGCCATCTCATATCCAGGATGAACTGTTGGAGGAGCTAGAAGAGCTGGAACAAGAGGAATTGGCCCGGGAGTTGTTAAATGTAGAAGACAAAGAGAAAGAACCCCCAGTCAAATTGCCTAGTGTACCCTCTACACATCTGCCTGTAGCGCCAGGTATGCAAGGCTGTTCTATTGCCTCGACTACTTAAGAGGGTAGGAGGAGAGCTGGGCAAGGTGGCTCATGTCTGTAGTCCTAGCTACTTGGGAGGCTGAGGTGGGAGGATCCTGTGAGTCTAGGAGTTGGAAGTTGCAATGAACTATGATTACACCACTGCATCCCAGCCAGGGTGACAAAGTGAGATCCCACTCTTTTTTTTTTTTT